ACCAAGAAAATTAAGGAAACTAGAGATATGTCGTCTTGCACTTCTCCGTAGCCTTTTCTTTGAACCAGGACACTAAGGCACGAGAACTGGCTATATTTGTCTTCCTGGCTTCTTCTAACAAATGGGTCGGTGTATGTCCATTCCTGAGGGAATAGATACCCGAGCTTTAGCGACAGAGATTGGTCGGTTGCAGTTCGATGAAGTGTCTATAAACCATCTGGTAAACCCCAGTGATGAACCAGCTGCGCCAGGTTGATGAGCGTATTTTTTGTTTTCGGTTCCAACTTATGATCTAGGTTATAATGGACAAAATGAAGACGAAGAAGCCGGAAAAAGAGGTTTATTAATCTGCCCTCTAGGCATTGTCGTCTCTTCTCGGCTAGCATAAATATATTGGGCTCAGGCATCCCAAGAAATATAATTTGAAGGTAAATACGATTTTTGAGAAAAGGCGAAAACTTTATTGGGTAAATTTTCGACGTCGGTTCCCGGTGTTGTCGTCAGGGGAAAGAGGAAAAGAAGAAAACCAATCAATACAGACTGACGCACACGACGGCCTCTCACCGGCTGAAGCACCAAAAGAAGCTTAATTTCTCGGTACGTTTGAAATGTTAATTTTTCGCACATTACTTGATTTTGACGACGACACGGGGGACCGATGTGAAAAATATTTTTAATAAAGTTTTAATGTTTCCCCAGCCAACGTATTTGCCTTCAAATATATATATATATATTTGAAAATGAGTAAGATTCATTGGAAAGGAAATAAACTTTAATGAGTAAATTTTCGAGTCTGGTTTCCCAGCTCGTCGTCAGACTTTTGGGCAAGGTACAAAAACAGTTAACTATTTAACCGTGTCAAACAAGTGATTCCATGGTTGGCCGAAGCCTGCGCCAATGCGCGTCAACGATTTCGCCATCCCCTTGGCATTGGCTGCGCTCGCTTCCATTTGTCCTTGAGAAATTTGTATGTGGCATCTAGATCGATATGCCGATTGATGCATGCCTCGTCTGAGTGCCATGCCTCCAGGAATTCGCGGCCTTTCCTTATTGGGCAGGCTCCAACAATGCGGGTGTTCTCCCATGCAAATTTGTGTCCAGTGTCCTGAGTGTGTATAGCCACCTGGGATAAATTATCTCGTCTCCTCACCGCTAACTGATGCTCATGTATGCGGGTAGAGGCGGAATTCCCAGTTTGGCCACAATACACGGCATCACAACTGGAACATGGTATCTTGTAGACGACACCTTTCCTATCAAGATAGCCAACCCTGTCCTTAGGGTGTACAGGCTGTGTACGCAAGGTGGTTGTAGGTTTGTGTGCAACGTGTATCTGATGCTTTTTCAGTTGTCTTTCGACGAGTTTAGATACATTTTTGATGTATGGGAGGGTCCGCCAGGTGAAAGTTTTTGGTGCTTGGGTGGCCGCTGTTTTCGAAATACCTTTCTGTTTAAACTCATGTTTAATGCAATGATGCACAAAGTGGCGCGGGTAGCCGTTGTGGGAAAATAATTTGAAAAGGTATTTCACTTCTGCTTGATAACTTTCTTCATCAGAGCAGTGTTTTAGCTCGGTTTAGTAGGCTGTAGACAGTACTCCTCTTGTGAGAGTTGGGGTGGTTACTCTCAAAGTGTAGGATGACCTCGGAGTATGCTTCTTTGCGATAAACTGAAGTCTGAAGGGATCCATCAGTTTTTCGGCATACGAGGACATCTAGAAATGGGAGCTGTCCGTCAACCTCTGTTTCAAATGTGAACTGAATTCCTGGAAATGTGGAGTTAAGATTCGTGTGAAGTTGGTCTAACTGGTTTCTCTTGACAATGACAAATGTGTCACCAACATAGCGCAGCCATAGTTTTGGATTAATTTTTGGTAGGGCTATAGACTCCAGATTCTGCATTATGGCTTCTGCTAGAAAGCCAGATAAAGGCGAACCCACAGCTTGTACACCCTAAGGACAGGGTTGGCTATCTTGATAGGAAAGGTGTCGTCTACAAGATACCATGTTCCAGTTGTGATGCCGTGTATTGTGGCCAAACTGGGAATTCCGCCTCTACCCGCATACATGAGCATCAGTTAGCGGTGAGGAGACGAGATAATTTATCCCAGGTGGCTATACACACTCAGGACACTGGACACAAATTTGCATGGGAGAACACCCGCATTGTTGGAGCCTGCCCAATAAGGAAAGGCCGCGAATTCCTGGAGGCATGGCACTCAGACGAGGCATGCATCAATCGGCATATCGATCTAGATGCCACATACAAATTTCTCAAGGACAAATGGAAGCGAGCGCAGCCAATGCCAAGGGGATGGCGAAATCGTTGACGCGCATTGGCGCAGGCTTCGGCCAACCATGGAATCACTTGTTTGACACGGTTAAATAGTTAACTGTTTTTGTACCTTGCCCAAAAGTCTGACGACGAGCTGGGAAACCAGACTCGAAAATTTACTCATTAAAGTTTATTTCCTTCCCAAAGAATCTTACTTCTTTTCAATTAAATTTCTTGGGATGCCCGTTTTTTAGCACATACGCATGAATTTTGAGCACAATGTTTTGCTTAACGCTCGAAGATGGGAAAAATGTACAATTCGCGAAAGTCTGACGCGAGAGCAGTTAAGTTTCCTGCACCGTTGTCGTAACAACAAGATTCTTCCGAAGTCTGTGCGGATAAAGCCTGTGATAAAGTCAACCCAAGGCTATCAAATTGCGATCCGTTATGGTCAACAAATGCTTTGAGCATTTATAACTGACGCCCACCAGCGACTTCGTAAATTCACAGAACAGAAAGAACAACACAGGCAATTTTGCATTGACTGACTTCCTCCCCAGGTATTTGAAACCCTAAAGGAAACCATCACACATGTCTCGGAACTGGAGCGTCTTAAAAAGAAGAATGTTTTGGACAAAAATGGATGGCCATTTCTAGAAAATGTTACAATGACTCTTCATCCTCAAAAAAGTTATAAACTTATCATCACGAGTACTGGCGACAGCCGAAGAGAACGTGCTGAGCAAAGGAATGAAGTACAATCCATCTGACTCCAACTACTTGAACTTTCTTGCCAGCTTCGAATCCATTATAACTTCGGCAGGTCTTACAGAGGAAGAGCAATTTACAATCCGCAACAGTACGGTACAGGCCTTGAAGAACAGAAACAAGTTCTCAATTTGTCTGGCGATGAAAAGAAAGCACTAAATGCACTTAAAACTGATGAAAACTTCATCATTCTGGCCGCTGACAAAGGAGGCTCCACCACCATAATGAACAAGACGGATTACACAGAGACGATGATGACACTATTAAAAGACGAATCCACCTACGAACCCCTAGATGCTGACCCCACAAAATCGCAGAATTCATGCATCGAGAAAACACTAAAGCGCCTTACAGGAAAGAAATTAATCTCAGGAGTTCTGACTAAATCCTTAAAACAAGACGAACCCACAATTGCCAAAATATATGGACTTCCTAAATTTCACAAAGTAGGTATTCCACTGCGACCGATAGCCTCCTTAATCGGTGCACCAAACTACAAGATTTCTAAGTGGTTATTTCACAATCTGCATCCACTTACAAAGGACTCTGCGAACTTCACCGAAGATTCAAATGAGTTCCTAGACACATTAAAAGGAGTGAGTGTTGCTACCGACGAGATAATGGTTTCATTCGATGTAGTCTCCATCTTCACCTCGATTCCATTAGATTTAGCGAGACACTGCACCGAAGAACTCCTTCAGACCTACACTACTGATGTGCCTGCCGACGCTCTACTCCAACTACTTGATGTTTGTCTAGAAACCAACTTTTCTTTCGCCAAACAATGTTATCGGCAACTGAAAGGTGGTCTTATGGGTTCGCATATATCTGGCTTTCTAGCAGAAGCCATAATGCAGAATCTGGAGTCTATAGCCCTACCAAAAATTAATCCAAAACTATGGCTGCGCTATGTTGGTGACACATTTGTCATTGTCAAGAGAAACCAGTTAGACCAACTTCACACGAATCTTAACTCCACATTTCCAGGAATTCAGTTCACATTTGAAACAGAGGTTGACGGACAGCTCCCATTTCTAGATGTCCTCGTATGCCGAAAAACTGATGGATCCCTTCAGACTTCAGTTTATCGCAAAGAAGCATACTCCGAGGTCATCCTACACTTTGAGAGTAACCACCCCATATGAAAAATTGCCATCACTTTCAACATAGACACTGGTGAGACATGTTGTATAAATGGTTTTCTAGTAGTAGGAAAACTTAACATACCTAGGTCGATTCTTAATTCTTGTCTTAATATATGCGCGTGTGTGTTCACACACCCCTGAGATACATATGAATCTAGTTCACAGGAAGTGCATACTGGCCACTCCTGCAGCATGGATGTGATTTAATTTGTGAATGCCAGCATAGCAGGTGTGAAATTGCATTCGAGAACATGCACACTTCACCTAATTTCACCGCTTGATGCAGTCTATAGAGTGAGGTGGAAACCAGGACGTGTGTGGCACGCGTAGATGGGTTTTCGACCCTATCAACCACTACGCTCAGCCCTGCCACCGGTTGATCGACAGGCTCGGACAGACAACTGGTGCGTGTGCAAGGGGAAGGAAGAATGAAGCTGACACTGGGGAACCCTAAAAAAGGAGACACTTTCACGGGGACAAGAGCTTTATTAGCCTGTCGTTTCGGATTCCTACTCGAATCCATCATCAGAGACAAAGAAGCAGAAACAGGTGGTTGTTGCACAAGGGGCTGCGGTATTTATAGGATACAATAGCCCTGATACCACATACCTATGAACATTCACCCCTCCCCCCTTCATCCGGGATCGTGGCGCTTGGTGTGATCACTACTTGATAGCCGACATTCGAGTCGATAATTGCTGCAATTTCATCACGTATGTTGGATGTTGTCGTGATGATTGCTCGACCATCTAACGCACCGACCCCGGTGTTGGGAAAAGTGTTCACCTCGGCGCTCCCCGCATGGCTTGCTACTCAGCCTAGGCGAAGTTTCAGCACGGAGTATGGAGTCGGCAGATCGTTGCGCTTATTGATAGACTGGTGGCCAGTAAACCATGATTCCAGTAGCTCCCGGCTCACTCGGTTGTCACCTCTTGCGAGAATTTCGGCCTCATCGAATTTGAATATGTCGCTGGATCTCGTCGAATGAGCCGCAACTTGAGGGCTTGCGTCATTTCTCCGCACCGCTGCCGCGTGTTCGGCCATTCTCGTTCGCAGCTGTCTTCCGGTTTCCCCGATGTAGTTGCTTTGTCCGCAACTGCAGCAGATCCAAAAACATCTCCAGATGTTTCTAGCCGTGGCAGTGGATCTTTCGGATTCATGACCAGACGTCTGATGGTTGCCTCGGGTCTGTGTGCCATTCCAAACCCCAAGTGGTGCGAGAAGGCGACCGACAGCTTCCGAAACGTTCTTGACATACGGAAGTGCCCGCCAATATTTGGTGTCCGTGCGGTTAGGCCGTTCGTCCCTTTTGCGTATGCACTGGTCGACGAATTTGCGCGGGTAACCATTGGCTGCGAAGACCCTTCGGGGGTATTGTATTTCGGCAATTATGTCTTCCGGTTCACTGCAGTGCGTTTCGTCACGCCGATAGAGCGTCCTTACACAACTGCGTTTGTGGCTGATTGGGTGGTTACTGTTGAAGTTCAGTACTTCCATCGTATTTGTCGCTTTCCTGAACACATGGGTCTTTAGTTCACCACAATATTTGCGGCATACGAGGGCATCCTGGAAGGCCGGCTTGTTGTTCTTTTCCTCCTCCATAGTAAATTGAATATCCGGGAAGACGGCGTTGAGATATTCTTGGAATGTCACCATCTGATCCCGTTCGATGACGACTAAGGTATCATCCACATACCGGGCCCAGAATTTCGGTCTGTGATGTTGAAAGACCAGCGACTCTAACCGTTGCAGGACCGACTCGGCGATGAATCCCGAAATTGGCGTACCCATTGGTGTGTCCTTCACCTGTTCGTAGATTGTCCCGTCGAACGTGAAGTACGTCCTGAGACAGAGCTTCAGGATCTGAAGGATTTGGGCGTGTCCAAGACGGTTCTCCGTTTCATCGTATTTGCTTTGTAGTAGCAGCTTAATTGCCTCTATAGCCAGGTCCTGGGGAATAGAAGTAAAAAAGGATGTAACATCAAAAGATACCATGACCTCATTTGGATGGATGCTTACCCCTTTGAGTTTCTCCAGGAATTGTGCTGACGGAGAGACCGTGGTGTCTGACTCAGCGGTCAGGAACTGGAGACCTCGGAACAGCCACTTAGCTAGTCCGTACTTTGGAGTCCCTTTGAGCGACACGATGGGTCGGAGGGGAGCGCCGTCTTTGTGCACCTTAGGGAGGCCATAGAATCGGGCCAAAGCCGTATCTTGGGGTCTCGCCATGCGTCTTTCGGTCGGATTTATTGCACCTGAGTTCTCCAAGGCCAACAACGTAGCATTAATTTCGCGTGTCCGCGCCTTTAAAGGGTTCGTTGCACATGGGACATAGAACTGTCGGTCCTCCAGTAAACCTTGGGCTTTTTTAAGGTAGCCTGTCCTGTCCAGTACAACTGTGGCGCATCCTTTGTCCGCTGGCCTTTGTCGGCCTTGAGTTCTCTACGCGCATCACGTTCGACCTGGGAAAGCACTTCCCGCGGCTTGTGGGCCATCAGGAGAGACGATACTTGGTATCGGATGAGGTTCTTAGTCTCCTCCGTTGCCTCCGTCTGACAAAGGACTGATTCCACTGCTGCAATCATTTTAACAGGTTTGGCGTCAGCCGTGTTGATTGACAGGCTCGGACAGCCAAATGGTGCGTGTGCGAGGAGAAGGAAGAATCAAGCTGGCACTGGGAAATCCATCTGTGGGAGCTGTTTGTTTTTGCCAGACATTGTGACCGCAGCAACCTCCGGTTGTGTATACATTATCTTGTCGGCGGTGTTTGGTTCTGCAGGACCACTTAAGTGATACCACATGGGTAGATTTCCAAAAAAATTTTGTAGATGCGAAAACGCTGGCTTTAGGCAGAGGTGAAAGGGAATCGATTTCGAGTTCTGTTCTCGCACATCTCGTCGATACGAATCACCGACTCTATACCAAAGAAGCCTTTCAGGTTGTCTACCAGATATCAGCAAGCTTCTTCAAAGGCCTACGCCAACGGGTGCTATCTAAAGCCGAGGCATTGGCCATACAACCAGCCAATCCAGTGCTATGTTGTTGGAAGATGCTGACACAGGCGCTCTGTCTTCTGTGGCCAACTCCGACCCCAGACGACGATTGCACGTCGCCCCAAACTCCTGATGGAAGTGATGTGTGCTCAACGTACAAAGATTACTCGCCCTCTTGACCCAATGACCACGACATGCCGACCACGCCATAGCACGCCTCGGCAGACGAGTGGTGTGGGAAAGACGAATGCTAATAACCCCTGAATCATTTATAAACCTTGTAACTTCGCACATATTCAACTTCTATGTAACTGTTTTGGTCTGATGACGAGTTACCGAAAACAGATGTTTGCCAAATTGAGTTTTCAATTGAAACATGGGGAAATTTACTGAATTTAAATTTCACGTATTTGCATCTTTCTTATCATTTTAATCCAGCGAGTGACTGTGCCACGAGGGGGGGAGGTCTGCTTATACGCCGGCCCCGATTACTTCAGGTATCAGTTCACACGCGCTTCCCTCCGCTTGGTTCGAGCCCTGCTTGCCCTCTCTTCATTATCATAACTCAGCGGGTGGCCAAGAAGGCTTGCTAGTGGAATTGTTCCGACGGTGTAGAACGCCATGGGTTCCATTACAATGGTCACGCACTGCGATCTATCACGCGCTACCCTCAGTGGCCTTCCAGTAGTGGTTGCACATCCTCATATCCTCTTAATCCAGCGTATGGCTGTGTCTGGTGAGGATTGCATACAAGCAACCTTCACTTGCTTCCCTGCGCTTGCTTCGAACTCTTTTTGCGCTCGCCTTCCCCTCTTAATTCAAGCAGTGGTCAATTTAGGCATGTTAACTATATAGTATGATGGTATGCGGCTGCAGAACCAAAACCCGCCGTCTTTTGTCATCCGATCCCGGGTGGGTAAAGGGAGAGCCGGAGGATTATCTGACATGCGCATTACAGATAACAATTCCGCTGTGACTTCATCTGAAGAGTCTGTCGAGGAGGAGAAGCAGTCGCACCTTCTTATCTTCGTCTCTATGCATAACTTAAAAATTTAAGCGAACACATTGCATAAATTCTGCATGGCAACAAACGTGCTCTTAAATATCTTTACTTTTGATGCCTCCGCTTGTAGGTGCTATGTCCCCATTTTTTGGTTTTTATCGAATTACCTGCTGTACATCGTCCACAATTCCGTAGACGGCTGTTCAAAAGAAAAATGACCATTAAAATGTCCTTACACGAACACAATATATGCATCATTATCCGTTTCCATATGCAACGGCAAAATCTTGGCTTAACTGCAGAGGACCTTTTAAATCAACTAGAGACCAGGTGAGCGGCGATCGTTTACCTGTCACTTGTTATTGTAGGGTATGAAAAATATGACTGAGACGTGACCATGTCAGACAGCAATATGAGCGCGAGTGAGGTTACATTTTGAAATTTTACGCAACGAACTTGAAGATGGAAAGAGAAGAAGACGGCCTTCCTCTCTCCCTAGCTGCTTGGCGTCCCTTCGACCGAGTTAGCAGTGGCCAATTTTGCCTAGGTCATGCATAACATTCTCTCTAGGATTCACAGACCACAGCCGGTCTTATATTCGACAAGGCCGCGGGAAGGCTTCCTTTCTTCTTTTTTATTCTGCTGCCTACTAATGCAATTAGTGGTTTTGGTTGAGGACCGGGAGCTCACATGCGGGCAACGAGAAGAAAGGGTGCGCTAGCCTTGCTTAAAACTACAATTCATTCAAGTAAGTCCATCTCACTGATTTATTTCTAGTCTAATAAGGGCGCACAGACTGCTGTCAATAGTCTACCCATTTCTAGCCCATGTTTACCATTATGAGCTTTCAAACTCCTGCAGAAGTCCATCATCAAATATACAGTAGATGTGCTAACTAATGAAATTCCAACCAAAATTTCGAAATGTGTTCTCGTTTCGAAAAGATTAATTAAGTAGTGCTGCAAAGCTAATCATGATGCAGGATAAATCTATAATGATCCAGTTACCTTAGGGTGTCTTCTTTTGAACGAACTTATTTCCGGCTGCATCCAAAAGCCACACTCCATGAAAAATGATTTCTTAACCAGCATGCAATTTTCTGATTGATTTTCGATGCACTTGAAAATTCAATTATATTACATGGAAAACATGCATAAAAATATTCATCCTTTTACTTATTCGGTAGAAAATCACGTCTTCTTCCAATTTCATCCTCAAACGAAGAGTATAAATACGTTTTAAAAAGTTTCTTATTCTGCGATTTTTTAATGCCGTTAAATGGCCGTTCATGAAACGTCATGTATCTGCATTTACGAATGTGGGTTGTAATGTTAACAATATTGCTCAAATCCACTGCAAAATTTTATAAACCTTATGTAATCTCCTCTTAACACCGTAGAGAAATGCATGGTTTTCCGTACACGGAACATATACAGTCTGTAGCTTTGAAACCCTGAATGCAATTGTAACAGCAGGTCGGGTTCAAAATTATCCGGGAATTAGAAAAGTTCATTAAACCCTAATTATACTCTTTTTTTTGAGTAAGAAATTGGAAGAAGACGTGAAACAGTAAAAGAATAAACATTTTTATTCATGTTTTTTACGAAATATAATTGAATTTTCATGGGCATCGAAAATCAATGAGAAAATTGCATGCTACATAAGTAGTCTTTTTTTGTAGGGGATAGATCTTACATGCAGCCGAGTATAAGTTTTTTCGAAAGCCGACACCCGGAGGTAACTGAATCATTATATATTTATGCTGTATCATGATTAGGTTTACAGCACTACTTGATTCATCTTTTCGAAACGAGAACGCATTTCGAAATTTTGGTTGACATTTCTTGAGTTAGCATATCTACTGTAGTACCCCTAACAGAACGAGCACTAGTTGCAGAGCGCTCTTGCTAATCATCGACCGATGACGCAGAGCTGGAGATGACTGTGAACAACAGCAGACTGTTGCGGTGCTCGAACAGTCTTCTTATTTCCTAGGTTATACGAATTGAACACGAAATGTTGCCTCCATTTCTAACCCTATTTTGCCAATCTTCTATATCGGGTCACAGAGCGATCAGTCCGTTTTCTCCTGACGGTGCTGTGGGCGAGTCTACCGTTGGTTTTTTATTCGTCGTCTACGAGGTCGTTGAACAGCTTTCACGTCTTTTCTACCATAACGCTACTCCAGGTATTCGTTCATCATTGATGTCTTAATATTATGCCAGTAAAACCTGCGGTTCATTTTTATGCTTTGTCATACTGTTTCGTCAGTCAGTATTTCGTTTATCTCCAAGTTAGCTGTCCCGATTGGCGACCCAATGAGCCTACCGAAATCAAATGAGTAGACAGACAAAAGGGATAAAGTTTAGGCGACGGAAATTATTCCCGCGCCTAACCGCTGAAGTAACCCCGTCCCCTATTTTGTCATATTTTTAAAAAGGAGTAGAGAAACCACCGACATGCTTTTAGCTACATTATAACATCACGAATGTCATCACTGCTTAAAAGCAGTCCATCTATGATGGCTGTCGTCAGCACTTAGCATCAAGTGTGGCCAGAGTAGTCTAACAGACGACCACATGTAGCCAGACAAACGTCATAACTTCAAGGCCATCAAAATTATTCTAAATCATGCGTTAGACATAGCTCTGAAGTTCGCCCAGTAGCGATAGATTTTTGGAATTGCTCTGTCCGCCGGGACTGATAGGCGATTTCATCTGCAATCTCACTGAAAAGATATTCCTTAGGCGACTCTTTATTGCAGAACAGCGTAGGAAATAATTCCAAAGAACTTTTTACATAATAATGCCTCCTTTCTGGATGCAGGCTCGATCAGTGCTTTTGCACTTATAAATAGGTAATTATCGAATTCATGAAATGTGAACTGGTAATCTGATAAGCTTTTGCGATTGTGAAGGATGACTTAAATGGGATTTTTAAATGAAATACTGTGCAAAATAGACCCCAAGATATTCCTGATGCGTCAGATGCTGATTTTTTCTTGTAGACGGCCTCACTGATTCAAATACTTCATGTAGAGAGCGTGCACAGAAATGTTGTCGATTACTTGCTTGGTAGAATATAGTTTTTTTAACTTAAATACACAGAAAAAAGGCGTATTCTTATTCCTGTTTTGTACATAGCTTCAACTAATCTTATTTGTGTTTATAAGGACGTCGTTAACAAACAAATAGGCATGCTAGATAAGTAGTCTCGTTTTTACTTAGTTCAGT